AATAGCTTTCCTCATGAGAACTTCATGGGGGCAAATAGTCCAAGTATTATTATATCCATGTTACAGGTGAGGAAACCGAGGCTGAGAAAGATGAAATGACATTCCGAGGTCCAACTATCTAATATCAGAAGTGGGACTTCTTTCTCTACCATACAGCCAGAATTGTTTGCTGTTTCTCACCCAAAACATTCCATTTCCAATCTCTGTCCCTTCTTCCTGGAGTGCCTCCCATACCTGTGAACACCCTCCTCACCCTCCCTCTGCCTCTTAGGCTCCTTCAGAGCTCAGCTTAAACATCACCTCCTATAAGAAGCCTTTCCTAATCCTCCCAGCTGCTAGTGCTACCTCCTTTGAAATAACATTGTGTTTATTATGTGTGTGTATGTATCACCTATTTAAGTGCATACATTTGGTTTCCCCTTTAGAACATAAATTCTTTGAGGGAAAGTGGGGTAGAAGCTTGGGCAGGCTCTTAGGCCGCAGTGGGTCCTTCCTCCTTGCTCTTTAGTTCAGCTCTGCCTGGGGTTTTACCCACCCTGTGGTCTGAACTATAGACTAGTGGGCCTGGATTTATCAGAGGTCTTTTCCTGAACTCCAACTTGAGTTTCTGATCTGATGACTGAATAAAGGGGGATTGTATTTTATATTTTTTTTATTCATAGATTCTGCACTTTGAATTAAAAAATATTAAATAGCAATTATAGCTAGCATTTATATGCCGCTTTGAGGTTTGCAAAGGACTTGACAAATATTATCTCATTTTATCCTCACAACCACCCTGGGGAGGGGTGAGTGACAATTATTATGTCCATTTTACAGATGAGCAAATGAAGGCAGACAGAGGTGACTTGCCCAGGGTCACACAGTTAGTAAGTATCTGAGGCTAGATTTGAACACAGGCCTTCCTGACTCCAGGTTCAATGCTTCAGATATTGCCCCACCTCGTTACATCAAAAGTAGTTTTTAATTGGATTCTATGGTTCATGAGTGACTGTTGCATTTTTTAAAAATGAATCCGCTGGTCCAAGCCAAATTTAGATTTAGCTCACAATATCAGATGCCTGATATGACAGTATAATGGAATTATATCATATATCACTATGCCTGACACACATATGTGTGTATGTGTGTACACACATATAATATATGGGAAAATAACATTTAATGTTCAAAGTGTCATATCTTTCCTGAGGCATGACTCATGCTAATAGGAATGGGAAAACCAGTTGCTGGAACAGTGACTTAGGCCAGGAAGTCTATACTACATAGATTCTGGGGCAAAAAAATTCAAGGAATTTGGAAGAGCTAATCATTTATTTGGATCCACCTGTCTCCCCAAAGCCTCAGTCCTTTTAGGGAAGTTGCTGGTGTTCCTGACCCATCCCTTTCCCCGCCTGCACTGACATGCCAGTGTGGGCAGGCGTGGGATTGCCATGCTCCCTTCTGACTCATAGAATCCAGGTTTGACTTTATATGTTTGTATGTGTTAAAGAGGAGAGTACAATATCACTTCCATAAAATGTCTATCCTCTTCTAGTGTTTAACTTAACATTGAGTAGGCAGTGTGGTATAATGGAAGGAACACTGGATTTGGAATTAGGGAACCTGTGTTCTAATCTTGGCGCTGCTGTTTAGTATGTGACCTTGGGCAAATCACTTTACCTCTGGGGGCCTTAGTTTCTTTATGTGTAAGATGAGAGGACCTATACCCTTTAATACTGTGGTGTACTATGACACTCATAGACTCAATTCAAAAATGTGTATCGGGTGTTGGCCACTAAAAGAGATATAAAACTGAGAAAAAAAATCAGTGATGGGCTGAGCAATTAGTGTAGAACACAATGGGGAATTAGAAAGAAAAGCCAGGACAAGGTCCCTGCTATTTAATATCTTACAACTCAGGAGGAGAAAAGACACTCAAGTTCGAAAAACTTACCCAGCTGACCCTTTGTTCTCAAAGGCCATCCCTACCAAGCTAGAAAAAGCTCCAGGGTGGGCCTGGCCATAGATTGTGTCTATGGTCTGAGTATCAGCCTAGACAAGATCAAAGAGGCCCACCATGAGAAGGCTCGTTAAGCGAAGTGATAAAAAGTTTTGGGCCATAGCAACTCATGATATGGTCTCCTAAGGTGTGGAGAAGTTGTAGTCTGTAGAAAACACACAGTGATGGAAATCACTCACTGTTCTTAGAGTGAGAGAGAGGGAAGGAGGAAGGCAGGGCACATACACACACACACACACACACACACATATAGACATGCATACACATGCATAATTTATATAATACATATAATATATATGTATACATGTATATACCTCGTATAAACATATGCACACATTTATGTACATGCATATATACACACACATAATATTTCTTGAGAGCAGTAGCTAGAAGTAATTTGAAGAGGCAGCATAGTGTAATAGAAAAAAACCATTAGATTTGGAATCTGGGGATTGGGACTTGAATCCTGAATTTGTTATGTACACACATGTGTACTTGGGCAAGTTAGATCACATCTCCTGTTCCTCAGTTTTCTTACCTGCAAAATGTCTAACCATTAAGTTGTTCATAATAGACTTGTAGTTTCATGTGCAATCATCTTTTTTATTATACTATGTTATAGAAGTACTTGTTTTATTCCATAAATTAAAAATAAAATAATTTTTTAAAAAATGTCTAACCATGGAACAACTCTTTATCAATACTGGTGTGAGAATCAAATTGATAAATTGAGTATGGCAAATCACTCTCTACAGTCACCTAATATTATTGTTAAATATTTGTACCTCCAATGCTTAATATAGTATATTGCACATAGTAGGTACTTATAAATTTGTTTAATTGAATTTGAAGACTGTGGATTTGGTGATACTTTATTGTATTTCCTTGAGAAGGGAGTTCCTTCCTTCTTCGCTCCTCCCTCCCTCCCTTCTTCGTTCCTCCCTTCCTTCCTTCCTCTCTTCTTTCCTTCCTCCCTCCCTTCCTTCCTTCTTTTCCTTCCTTC